CAAAAGTAGGTTAAATAAATTATAGATATCGTGAAACTTCACCCCTAAATACTTCAGCAGACATTTCCCAAGAATAAAGACACTTTCCTACATAGCCAAAAAATCATTTTCATACCTAAGAAAATGAGCAGTAATCTGATAATATCACTTGTACATAATACCATCTGAAAATACATCATTCGAGATACATATAAATTTACCCCAGTTGTCTCGAATTTTTCTCTTAGAGATTTTTTTTTGGAAGATTTTATTTATTTATTTAACAGAGAGGGATCACAAGTAGGCAGAGAGGCAAGAGAGGCAGGCGGGGCGTGGGGGATGTGGGTGGAGCAGGCTCCCTGCTGAGCAGAGAGCCCTATGCGGGGCTGGATCCTAGGACCCTGAGACCATGACCTGAGCCGAAGGCAGAGGCTTAACCCACTGAGCCACCCAGGCGCCCTCTCTTAGAGATTTTTTTAAACTCCCAAATCCACTTGAGGTACATGCATTACCCTTGGTTACTGTGCTGCTTCTCCACTTGTATTCAGACCTCCCCCTTTTCCCCCTCCACTGTCTTTCTTTGTGTTTCAAGACTTTGACTTCTTTTTTTTTTTTTTTAAGATTTTATTTATTTGACACACAGAGAAAGAAATCACAAGTAGGCAGAGAGGCAGGCAGAGAGAGAGGGGGAAGCAGGCTCCCTGCTGAGCAGAGAGCCTGATGCGGGGCTCGATCCCAGGACCCTGAGATCATTACCCGAGCCGAAAGTAGAGGCTTAACCCACTGAGCCACCCAGGCGCCCCAAGACTTCGACTTCTTTGAAGAGCCCAAGCCAGTTGTCTCGTAGGACAGTGTACAGCCTGGATCCATCTGATTGTTTCCTCATGACTGGGTCCAGGGCAAATGTTCTTGGCAAGGGTACAGCAGAGATGGGGCTCTGTGTTTCCCAAGGCGCCCTACCCAGAAGCTCGGAGTGTCAAGTGATCTCACCATGGGAGATGCTAAGTTTGAACATTTGGTGAGGACTAAAGTCACTCTAATTTTTTGCTATGGATCAAAGAGACCATAGCTGTTTGCCCGAGGCTTTCAAATACTTCTTGGTAGTTGGAATTATTTGAAGTGGTCACGACTGGGGTTTCTGTTCTTTAGTATCTGCTCTCTACAGGGTGTGACCAGCTGCCCTTCTCTTTCTTCTAGTGGGATTTGCTCTTTTACTTTTAAACAAAGGCAGATTCCCTTTCCGTGGAGACCTCCAGCTAGTGCCTGTGCCTTTTATGTTCACAGAGGCCAACCTCACACTTTCACACCCTGTGCTTATGCATTCTCCGCTTCTAGAGATTTCTTCCCCTCAGACCAGTCTATAAACATTTCTTTTTTTAAGATTTTGTTGATTTATTTTTTTACTTATTTATTTATTTGTGAGAAAAAAGAGGGTGAGAGAGAAAGAGAGCAAAGAGCACAAGCAGAGGAAGCGGCAGGCAGAGGGAGAAGCAGGCTCCCAGCTGAGCAGGGAGCCTGATGTGGGACTCCATCCCAGAACCCTGGGATCATGACCTGAGCTGAAGGCAGATGCTTAATGGCTGAGCCACCCAGGTGTCCCTATAAATATTTATTTCTGACACCAGCACCTCTGAGTTGCCATCTTTCTCCAAAGACCCCTTTGTTTAAAACTTTTTCAGCTTCTCTGATTATTTTAAGGGGAAAATTCTCAATTACATGCTAGTGTATGTATAACTCTCTTAACACTTACTGATAGCACCTTTAGCAAAGAGGGTGCCTTCCTCGCTCTGTAGTAGCAGCAGTGAGAGGGGGTGGGGAAGTGAGAATATGGGGGTGAGGTATTCAGGGTGCCTCTGGATATTAGAAATCCAGCCTCCTTTCCTGAAAATGAATCACAACCCTCCCATACAACAAAACCAAAACTCAAGTCAGAGTTATTCCTTAGTATTCCCAAACTTTCAGTATGAGATCTTTTTATGGACAAAAATACCTGTGGATAGGCCTTTATGTGTGGTTGTGTTTTACTACCCGCTGATTAAGACATTACATCATGACAGCAAACTATTTAGAATTAATCACTCGTTAAAAAAAAAAAGTTTTATTTTATTAATACAGGAAAATCTACATGCATTGAGGGAAGAAGTAGTATTTGTATATGTTTCATTGTTAGACAATCTAACAAAACTAGGGATGTTGCTGCACCCCTGAACAATTGTAAATCTTGTGACGACAGGGACGTGGAAACGACAGGACTTCAAGGAATAGAGACCAGTCAAAAGATCTCACTCACCCTCTCTTCCCTGTCCATTGCAAAAGCAAGCAACACCTGCACAGCCCCTCACTAAAGCCATTCCTTGGCCACATGTTGCCATCTTCCATTCGAGCAGTCCTGAGCCCAGAACTGAGGTGGGCATGGGAATGGATATGGAAAGCGCTCCCCCAGCATACAGCCCAGCTGCTGCCAGCAGGATTGGGACACCCTGTCTGAGAGGAGGAAATGCTCCATCCCTTTTAGCCCGCAAGACCATTTCCTAGGTCTTCTTTGACCTTACTTGGCTCAGTGAAGCAGGAGCTTCTCCGTACTATTTTGTGGAACCAGAAAAAGCAAACAAGCATACTTTCCAAAACAAAGAGGAATTTTTACAGCTGATCTGCGATCTTCTTCCTCACTGTTAGTGTTCTCTTGTTCTAGAATATAGTCTGGATTTGTGTTGCTTTTATGAAATGAATTTCACCACTTATTTATTATAACTAGGTATGAACAGAGAAAAACCAGACAAAAAGCTATATCATATTTCTGCCTAAAAAAGGAACACTATATAGGGGCACCTGGCTGGCTCTGTGGGTCGAACATGCGACTCTTGATCCTAGGGTCAAAAGTTCAAGCCCCATGTTGGGCATAGTGATCACTTAAAATAAATAAATAAATTTTTTTTAAAAGGAACACTGTTATAGACATGGGGTTGATATGGGTTGAGTCACAGGTTTCCATGATAGTCAATCAGAATGCTGCGCCTCAAGACTAAGGATTGCCCAGAGGATGCCATAAAGCATTTGGAGGTCCTAATATTTCAAGGACTTCTTAGGGAAGAACTGGCAAGGACATTTTGTGATGACTAAACACAAACAAAATAGTTAAAGGTAAAGAATAAATATAAATGCAATACTAAGAGGACTTCCTGTGACAGAAGGTCAGATTTAGAGTCCTCATACCTCCAGGTGAGATGTATTACAGACCTGGCTAGCACCTGGGTCACTAGTGCCTTGTCTTTCATTAATTAGAAGCTCACAATCTCTGGTGTTAGCCATGACCATGAAAACCATGACTGGATAAAATAGAGACCTTATAGAAATTGTTAACTGAATAGAAGAATACAGAATTGTAGACTCTGTATAAAAGAGAGCAAGACTTACCATTTTTTGCCTCCACACTTAGAAGGAACACTTCAATTTTGTTATCTGGTTTAAGAAGAAGATACAAGCAGAGTCTGTAAATGCCATCTGCTTCTCCTGTCAGGGCCTCAGCTTTTATACAAGGGACTTCCCCGCTGGCCACCCAGACCCGGAGGAGACGTGGTACTTACTCAAACCCTACTCAGGTTGATTGGCAGTTCCTTGTGGCTCCATTTCCTCTGTGGCTCCTGAAAGTGGTTCACAGTCCATGAAATGGGAACCGTGGATCCAGGCCCTTTTAAATCTGGGGTTGGCGGGTGGGTTTCCAGGTTACTTTATTTAAATTATTAATGTCATACTGCCCTGTGTGCCCTCCATTATAATTATTTTCCTTTCAGTTCTCTTTCTCTACCAAAACTGTAGTTAAGATGACTTGGCTTTATACATGGATGTATTTTCTAGAAGATGTCAGAGAGATTGGAGTGAAGTGGGACAGTTATTATTTGCCATAAGCTTAGATGCTCTCTTATAGCTGGATACTCTGTGGAGTGGTCCTCCCCGAGCTGGGGTTAGTTATGGGTGGAGGGGAAGCAGTTTTAAGCACGCAGTATAGGGTTTCTGAGATTTCCAGTAAGACTAGGCATCCAAACTCATCCTGTACTCTTTGCAATACTATGCCTCTGAGAAATCATTCTGTACGCTCCCGGAATAGTGTTCCTCAACGTGAATGGTGATTATTTTGAAAGCCTTTTATTCTTCTTAGGGTCATTATGTATCTTTTTATTTAGGACTGATCCCAAGCCATTCTCACTTATGTCATCACATCTGTCAGGGTCCAACCAGGAAACAGAAACGCCCAGATTACTTTTTAAAGAGGAAATTTAATGCAGGAAATTGGCTAAACATGATGGAAGAAGCTAAGAAGGTAATGGGCAAGTAGACAGTCAATCCAGAGGTTAGCAATTTCAGGAAGCTGTGATTTTCTGTAGATAGGCGAAGGATAGAGGCAAGAGGATGTTACTAGAGTCTAGTAGTCACCAGTCAAAGCTCAAGGACTTCTCTGTCCAAGGCAGAGAGAGAGAGGGAAAGAAATACCCTGGATTCGGGGTATTCTGTTGTCTAACCTCCCGTTGTGCCTCCCATTGACCGAACCAGCGGGAGAGCAGCTGACACCCAGAGCTGGGGAAACAGCCTTCAGAAGTGAACTCCCTGTGGTATAGAGCAGGGTAAGACTGCTCTCTGAGGACAACCAGCTCTCAACCAGCATAATCATTTGCTAGTGGGATTAACCTTGTTCTGGAATTTATTAACACAGAATTTTTTTTTTTAAGATCTTATTTATTTATTTGACAGAGAGATCACAAGTAAGCAGAGAGGCAGGCAGAGGGGAAGCAGCCTCCCCGCTGAGCAGAGAGCCCGATGCGGGGCTCGATCCCAGGACCCTGAGATCATGACCCGAGCTGAAGGCAGAGGCTCAACCCACTGAGCCACCCAGGTGCCTCTTGAAGTTGCATTTAACACCCTACCCCTCCCCACCCTTGGAAAAATAATTGCTGACATTTTCATAAATATCTTGAGAACTCTTGCTTCTACGGAGAAACATTTCACATTCAAAGGGTGATACAAATAAGAAACATTCAGTCTGTGGATTTCACTTGGTTGGTTGGCTGGTTGTATTAACACAGAATTTTTAATGCAGTCTTCCTGCATACCTTTCACATGTTCAGTTGGCATAATGATATAGTTCTTCTTCCATCCACACTTTTCATTCTTTTTCCTTCTTTAAATTACCTTGGAGTTAATAAATAACAACCACTCAACCAGCTCAATAGTATTTGAAACTCATAAATAGTAATTATTTTATTAAGCATCCTCATAGTAAATGAAACACTTTCACATATGCTACTTGACCTCATAAAAACTCTGAATAGTTATTATTATCCCCATTTTATAGAAGGATTATCTGAGTCTTAGACACTTTATATGAATTGCTCAAGGATAGAGAACAAATGCTGGAGCCAGAATTCAAGCCCCTGTCTGCCTATGATTTTCCCATGCTGCCTCATGAGAGGAGTTGCCCAGAAGGAACAGCAATAATTTTTCTTTCCTGGTTGGCTGATTAGGAGGAAGGAGAAAGTGTATTTTAAATTCGCAAAAATTTTCTCGTTGATCCAGAAATTAAAATTACACCCTGGGCATGACATTGGGCCTATCTAGCATTCCAGTCTAAAGAGTTACATTCTCCCTGAAGAAATCACAAGTTTGCCCTGCACCCATCTAGATTTGGCATTTCGATATAAATTGAAATGGCTCTTCTGGAAGGTTGATTGTGACAGCAGCATGTACCATCCCAAGCCTGATAGAGGGGGTAAGGGAGGAAGGCGGCGGGGGGCAAGTCCATGGTTGCCGTTTCCCTGTCTGTCGTCAATAAAATATAGGATGCCCAGGAAAACTTGAATGTCAGATAAACAATTTCTTTAAGTAGGATGCAAATATTGCAAGGGACATATTGCACTTAAGAGTTATTTGCTGTTTATCTTACATTCAAATGGCATCCTGTAATTTGCTAAATCTGGCAACCTTATCTCAAGCTGGGCAGTGATCCCAAGGTTGTTTCCTGTGTGTATGTGTGTGTGTGCGTGTGTGTTCAATGATCCTAAGGACAAAGCCCATATGGTTCTGCTCCTGCCATCTGTGCCCTGTACCTGCCACGAGGTATTAGTTTCTGCACAGGTGCAGAAGCGGAAGGGGAGATTGGAAGGGGATTCCCAGTGTCCAGCAAAGACTGATGAATTCTGAGTTAGAGGTTCCCTCTGTGGTAAGGAGAGCTGACCTGACCTGACATAAAAGCTATAGTTGATTTACCTGGTTTCACTTTGCTTTTCTGCTAGTCTGTTTTCACTGGTGAGTATTCAGATCTGACCAGGAAGTTAAAGATAGCCTCAGAGATGTGTAAACTCATTCAAAGAAAGAGAAAGAGGAAGGGGCCCGAGATGGCCTGGATGTGTGAGGGAGAAAGGTCTGTGGGCCCCCTGAAATAGGTGAGGAGGTTCATATGAGTGCTGGTGCTGCTGGCTTAGGAGAAGACTAGGGAGCAGGGCCTGTGGTACCTCCTGGGGGGATGTCAAGGAGAGGATGGAGCAGTTGAAATGCTGGGGCCAGGCGCTTGCCTCTGAGGGTAAAGAACGCAGAGCTGAGAGGGGAATGCCACTGGGCTATCAGACCTCCCAACAAGAGGGCAGTCATTTCAACAGCACCTTCAGGGAGAGAAATGATGCTGCTTACTACAGGAGTTCAGGGAAGGGAGCCTGGGGCCTGCTCTCAGCCCTGTCCTAAGTTGATCTGGAGTCTTGAATAAGCCGTTATTATCTCTGGGCCTTTGAACGTTCTCCTGTAAAACTATGATGGCAGAGGACATACCAGATATCTGTTATAGTCTCTTAGTTCTAAAATTCTGTTGGTAGATGTATAAATTTAAGCCTTCTCCTGGTTCCTGTTCTGTGTTCACTTGCCAAAGAGCTGGCGACCACACTTCATCAGTAATCCTTTTTATATCTGAAGATGACTCTCCATTTGCCCTTCAGTTTTTTCTCTCATCCAGGCACAATATCAAAGTCCTTTTTCTTTCCCAAAGGGCTGTATTCAAAGGGCTCATCTCCAATGAGATCTACCCTCCTAAAAGCCTCGTGTCAATACAATAATTAGTAACTTTATGGGACCAGAAGCTACAAATAATATTTCAATCCCAATTCACTGTTCTTTCATTCATTCATTTGTTCAGCAAATATTTATTGAGCTCAGGTGAGGCATTGGGCAGATTTGAGCTTTGGGAAGAAAACTTCAACAGAACTACAAAACATGGCAAACTCCAGGTGACCTGAGACCTGGTTCCTTGAGTCCTTTGCCTCTCTCTTACAAGTTTCAGTGTTCAGCCACCTGTCCCTCAAATGGCAGAGGCAAAACAAAAATAAGTGCCATCTATAGTTGCAGTAAGAGGCTGAAAGTGTTGGCTAACCTGAGATATTTGAAGAATCTGTGGGTTTCCGCCTCCTTATAGCTGTAGGCTTCCAAGACCAGACACAGCTGGGAACCAGCTCCTTCGACCGAGAGTGCAAAGCAGCCCTCAGAGATGTCCTTCTCTGACCCACTTTTTCCTTGCCCTCTGTCTGCAGTGCTGCACTTGAGATGGCGTTACTGTCCCTCTGGCTCTGCCTGGGTTTTCACTTCTTGACACTGGAATGGAGAAATCGAAGTGGAATGGCCACAGCAGCTTCTGAAGGGGGCTGCGAGTTGGTGAGTTTTCCGAGGAACTCTGAGCTGTCTGTTGCCTCTGCCCTGACAAAGATCAGCTCATTTTGGTGGATTGTCTATCCAAGAGGGCAGAGAAGGAAGGAGTCTGAGTCACTCTGTAGCTGCCCACGGGCTGTTGTGTGCAAGCTGCTCGTGAACCAATGGTCAGGATGATACCTGGGAAAGACCAGGCAGTCCCTGCCCCATCTTTTTCATACCTGCTGAAGATAGGAGGCACCAGAGACTGAGGTCAAGAACAAGAACAGCTTGTTAAATGTCTGGACGGTCGAGATCCACTTATGGTGTCGGAATCCCTGAGCGGGGCGTAGTACACCTGGAGAAGCCCTGACTCAGAGCCTGTGGGTGAGCCAGTAGCAAGGGCTCAAATACAGGGGTGCTGCTGAGAGTGACATCCTCAATCACGTTCAGGCTGAGGATGATCCAGGGAGTGGAGAGCTGAGCTTTTACAGCTTACCCTCTGCAGGGCTTTTGGCCTGTATGTGCAAACAGACTTGGCTCATAATGACTGAGCACATTTCTGGAAATGTTCTCCATTGCCTGTAAGTCTGTGATATCAAAAGTCTGCTTGGGAAACATACATTTAATAAACAGTCTTTGAGTCCTATTATATACAAGGTACTGGGAGGACAAATTGAATGTCAGGGTAATACCTACATTTAACCCTGATAAATCTCAAAAGCCCAGCTGGTCATGGTTCTTAACCACTTTTAGTAACCTCTAACCACTGTGCTGTAAGATACTCCAGTATGGAGTGGTGGTTATGAGCCAGAGTGGGTTGAAACCCCAGCTTACCAGCTGGTGACATTGGTGGAGGGCAGGGGGCACCCTGTGTCTCAGTTTCCTCCTTTGTAAGATACGGAATAGTGGTACCAGCCCATAATACTATAATACTGCATTGTTATGATGATTATTAAATAGTGTATATAAGGCTCTCAGAACAGTGCCTTGTATGTAATAGGAGCTATGGGTTTTATCTAGTATTATTGTTGTTAGTCTCTGCTACAACTTCAGACTTCTGTTATTCCCTTACAGAGGCAATTGAAGATTAGCCTCCCAGTAGCTGATTCAGGAGGGAGTCAGGCTTAGAACAAAGAGGGAATAAAGTGTGAGTTCTTTGATAGCTTTTCAGGGCTCCGGCTAGACCCCCTACCTGACCCTTTCCAGCCTGGTGGGGAGGAGCAGGGGGGTGGGCTGCCAGGAGCTCAAAGACTGGATTCCCTGTGGCTCGCTTAGGGCTGAGAGTTTCCGGAGTCCAGCTATTTCCAGTGCCCCTCCTTGCCTAAGCCATGTGTGGTCATCAAGTGGCCATGGTGAGGTTCTCTTGGGCTCTGACAGTCATGTGGTCTTTTTGTAGCCCTTCACTGGGGCTGCCAGGGGATTACAGAGGTGGGACCCCAGAGTTGCAGTGGCTGTGCTTTAACAGGGTCCCGTGGCTTGAAGAAAGCCCTAACCACAACATTCTCCAGAGAGTCTCTGTTAGGGAAAGACCAACACTTACTCAAATAAAGGAATACATTATTTCTGCAGGGGGAGATTGAGTTTTGTAAAGACATCAGTTATCCACCCCACCCATTAACCCATAATTGTAATGCAATCCCAATCAAAATTCCAAAGTCTTTCGGGGGAGTGTGACAGGAACTTGACAAATTCATTCTGATGTTCATCTGGAAATTAGAAACAACTCCAATGCTCAACAATAGATTAATTAATCAAATAATGCTAATCATCAAGCCAACATTTATCAAGCACTTACGTGCCAGGTTCTGTATTGTTTTACCTAAACAATCGCACTGAATCCTCAAGAAAAAGAAGCCCCTGTGAGAAAATTATAAATATCATTTCCGTTTTACACATGGAATAATGAAGGTCCTGACTGGTTAGGTAACAGCCCAAAGTCACCCATTTGTTGAAAAGCAGAACCAGACTGGACCGACCCTAGAACTCTTGTTCTTTAACACTGTGCTCTTTGTGCAGTCAAGTAATATACAGCTGCTTAACAGATGTGGTCAAATTTATTTTTCTTGCCACAGTAATATATCTGCACATATTATCAAGGGTGGTAAAAGTAGATTATTAGTTTGGTCTCATTAAAAATTTTGAGGTGTGCCTGGGTGGCTTAGTCAGTTAAGCATCTGCCTTTGGTTCAGGTCCTGATCCCAGGGTCCCCAGATTGAACCCCACATTAGGCTCCCTGCTCGGTGGGGAGTCTGCTTCTCCCTCTGCCCTTCCTTGTGCTCTCTCTCCCTCTCTGTCTGAAATAAATAAATTTTAAAAAAAGATTTTTTTTCCCGCTATCACTGGCCTTCTCCTAACTGACCAATCCTTGAAAAGGAAGGCCATTGTTCTTCTATCTTATCCCTTAAAACTTTTTTTCCTAGACATCTGACATCCTGCAACAGATTGTTTTTGCCAGTCTCGTAAAACATGGGGCTGCACTGAAGCATCCTGAGGCTTGTGTGATTTCTGCAGAGAGAACAGGGTCATTCCATCCATCCTGCCTCCTTATGCAGCACAGTCATGGTGGAACAGCACCCAGGAAGGGCACCGAATTGGGCATTAGGAGCTCTGGGCTCCTGAGCATTAGGAGCTCTGGGCTCCTGCAGTGCCATTGGCTCTTCACTTCTCTCCAGGCCTCACTTCTCTGTACCATTCAGAGGGCCGATGAGCTCTAAAGTCCTTTTCGGCTTTAATATTGATCAATCCAGAATGTAGAGGAACATCCCAGGCAAAATTACTTCGGGTGCAATGAAGATGCCACAGCATCTCAGTTGTCTGGCATTGATCCTGCTGGACGCACAGATGTCATGGTAATAGCGATAAGGATATGACAGTGGCCATTTGGGTGAACGGTGCTTCCTGTGTCAGGCACTGTGCGGCCTCCCTTCCAATCCCACTGCAGTCCTCTGAGGCAGACACTCTCTACTTCATCTCCATTCTTCACAGGGAAGAACAGACTTAGGCTAAGTTATTTGCCCAAGGTTGCCTGGGAAATAAATGGCAGAGGTGGGATTCACTCCCAGGTACCGCCTTGATCCTCAGTTCCTCTCACAGCTGAAACCACACCGCGAGCACAGTTGTCACTGCTCAGAAGCCAATGGACAGGAGCTCAGCTCTCCTCTGATACGAACGGGTCTCGAGTGAAGTCTGGCCCCCAGCTCCTAGCTGACTGTTTCAGCGTGACGGTAAAGAACAGAGAAAAGTTCCCTTTGTGTGACATTTTCCTGTCCTTTTTTCCCTTAAGAAAAAAAAAAAAAATACAATCTCTAGAGCCCCTCCCAGTGGTTGGAGGAATAGTCCAGGGAACAGGCCAGGATTCTGTGCATAAATGTCCGCCTTGGAGGCCCCCTCCCTGCTGACCGGTGTGTTTTTGGGCCTAGGCTGATGGAGTGGCCGACTGCCGAGGGCAGAAGCTTAAATTGGTGCCCAGCCATCTCCCGCCGTACTCCCAGATGCTCCTCCTGGACGCCAACCCGCTGAGGACCCTGTGGAACCATTCCCTCCGGCACTACCCGCTCCTGGAGAGCCTCAGTCTGCGCGGCTGCCAGCTGGAGCGCATCAGCCGCGGCTCCTTCCGCGAGCAGGCCCGTCTACGCAGCCTGGCGCTGCCCGACAACAACCTGTCCGAGAGCTACAGGGAGACAGCGGCTGCCTTCCGCAGCCTGCGGGCTCTGCGGACGCTGGACCTGTCAGGGAACTCCCTGACGGAAGACATGGTGGCCCTCATGCTCCGGAACCTGTCTTCGCTGGAGTCTGTGTCCCTGGCGAGGAACACCGTCATGAGGCTCGACGACTCCTTCTTTGAGGGCCTGGGGCACCTCAGGGAGCTGGATTTGCAGAGAAACTACATCTTTGAGATTGAGGGTGGCGCTTTTGATGGCTTGACCGAGCTGAGGCACCTCAACCTGGCCTATAACAACCTTCCTTGCATCGTGGACTTCAGCCTCACCCAGCTGCGCCTCCTCAACGTCAGCTACAACGTCCTGGAATGGTTCCTGGCTTCCGGGGCCGAGGCTGCCTTTGAGCTGGAGACGCTGGACCTCTCTCACAACCAGCTGCTGTTTTTCCCGCTCCTGCCCCAGTGCGGCAAGCTGCACACGCTCCTGCTGCGGGACAACAACATGGGCTTCTACAGGGACCTGTACAACGCCTCTTCGTCGCGGGAGATGGTGGCGCAGTTCCTCCTCGTGGACGGCAATGTGACCAACATTACTACCGTCAACCTCTGGGAGGAGTTTGCTTCCAGCGACCTCCCCGAGCTGCGCTTCCTGGATATGAGCCAGAACCAGTTCCAGTACCTGCCGGATGGCTTCCTGAAGAAAATGCCTTCCCTTGCGCACCTGAACCTCAACCAGAATTGCTTGGTGACGCTTCATATCCGAGAGCACGAGCCCCCCGGGGCGCTCAAAGAGCTGGACCTGAGCCAGAACCAGCTGTCGGAGCTGCACTTGGCCCCAGGCCTCCACGGCTGCCTGAGGAGCCTCCGGTCGTTCAACCTGAGCTCCAACCAGCTCGTGGGCATCCCCACTGGCCTTCTTGCTGATGCCAGTAACATCACTACAATTGACATGAGCCACAATCAGATCTCCCTTTGCCCCCTGCGGGCGGACCTGCACCGCCTGGGCCCCCCAAGCTGTGTGGATTTCCGGAACGTGGCCTCGTTGAGGAGCCTCTCTCTGGAGGACTGCGGGCTGGGGGCCTTACAAGACTGTTCATTCCAGGGGACCGCGCTCACCCACTTAGACCTGTCCGGCAACTGGGGGGTTCTGAACGGGACTGTCACCCCTCTCCGGGATATTGCCCCCACGTTACAGGTCCTGTCTCTCAGGAACGTGGGCCTCCGTTCCAGCTCCACGGAGTTGGACTTCTCTGGGTTTGGGAATCTGAGAAACTTGGATCTGTCAGGGAATTCTTTGACCAGTTTCCCACGGTTCAGGGGCAGCCCAGCCCTGCAGACCCTGGATCTGCGCAGAAACTCTCTCACAACCCTTCCCTGGAGGGCTGTGTCTGAGCAGCTCACCCGAAGTCTACGCACCATCTACCTCAGTCAGAATCCTTATGACTGCTGTGGGGTGGAGGGCTGGGGGTCCCTGCAGCACCTGCACACCATTGCCGACCTGGCCATGGTCACTTGCAACCTTTCCTCCAAGGTCATTCGCCTAATGGAACTGCCCGGAGGCAAGCCTCAGGACTGCAAATGGGAGCAGGTGGACATGGGCCTGCTGTACCTGGTGCTCATTCTTCCCAGTTGCCTCACCCTGCTGGTGGCCTGCACCGTCATCTTCCTCACCTTCAGGAAGCCTCTGCTTCAGGTCATCAAGAGCCGCTGTTACTGGTCTTCCATATACTGACCCGGCTCCACGCCGAGGTGAGAAACTGGGCCCCTGTGCCAAAGGACACAGGTTCTCCGCCCGACCTTGGGGCCTGATGCAGAGGATGGAGCTGGCAAATTGAGGTTTAAGTTAAAAGTTTAAAATGTTGCCTTCCTAGTTGTCCCCAAGCTCTTCCTCTATCATTGTGATTCAGGCTCATCATTCTGCTAAAGTATTTATTAAGTGATGTTCTGTGACAATAAAACACGTGTCTCTTAAATATTTTTAAAATCAAACCTGGCTTGTTTTCTCTTTCTTCCGTATTTTTTGGTAATTTCACCCAGATTACTTTTCAGTGTCCTCCCCTTGGGTGACTCCCACGGAGCTGACCAGAGAGGGCAGCAGGTCAGAGCTCCCCGACAACGACAACTCCAAGAGCCTATCCTATGGATGTGAGAGTCTATGCCCCAGGGGTTCCCCAAGGACAGGAGTTTCTGAGCTGGGAGTCTGAGAGAAGGGTTCTCACCTCCTGTGGCGGCTGGCTCTGCCACCGCAGCCAGGGTGGCCCAAATGCCCCGGGTTCGTGCCCACAGTCTGTGCAGGCAAACACGGCCCTTTCATGGAGAAGTTAAGAGAATGACAAGCGGACCCTGAGTTTATTCAAGCAATAAGCTGAACACCAGGCACAGTCCTTGATCTGATGGAAAAAAGAATGTAGACAGGAGTGGTTTCTGCTGACCTGTAGGCTGCCCCTGCTCTTCACAAAACCCACAAACAACTCAGCAGAGGTTGAACACCTGCACTCACGACATTCCTGGTTTCCTTCTCCTTCTCTCAGTGGGAATAGAGAACAATTTCTTTGCTCCTCTGCAGTGTTGGGGGGAGATCGGAGTGGGGGGGGTGACACGGACTTGGCCTTTTGGTAGTCACTGTCCTTGCACTTTTTATCCCTGTTTATCCAATCATAAAGGGCCCAGTTGCAGGGGTGGGGTTGGGGGTGAGGGGGTGGGGAAAGGACAGAAGGCCCACAAGCTGATTCTATTACCATGGAGACTACACGTCAGCAGAAGTGTTTGGGCTGATCAGAGAGAGAAAAACAGTGGTCTTCATTTGACAAAGCAGAGACTTTCTTCAGCAGCCCTACAAGGGCACCAAAGGCCCTTTGGGTAAGGCTCCACACTCTGGCACTCACCGAGTCAACCTGTGCTCACTAATGGTTGCCCTTACTGCCCCTCCCCTTCTCCTGCCAGTGCGCTCTCTCCAGCCTGCGTGCCCCAGCCCAGAGCCTTGCACATCCCTCAGAATGCCTTGGAGCCTCTGTCCAGTGCTGTTCCCTGCAAGCCCCAGCAGCCCATGCCCCAAAGACCAGACTGGCCTGATTTCCCCTCCCATCCACACAAACACTTCTTCCTGGGGTCCTGCTGTTTCCCAAGGTGACAAATAGCTAAACGAGACAGATCAGTCTCTCCAAGGCTTGTGCATTCATGGCTTCTGTTGAGTTAATGTGTCACGCCTCACATCAGTTACTGTTCTCAGTTTCTTGCAACCGAGGATAATCTCTGATTTAAGCAGCATGCAATTTGAGTAAAAGGACATCTGGAAGCCCAGCCTCTCTGGGAAGGCTGAGGAACAGAGTTGGGAAATGGGCAGGAACCGGGAGGCTACTCGACCATTGGGACCACAGCCCAAATCATGCCACAAGCCATCGCTGCTGGACAACACTCTGGACGGGGCCACCGCCACTGGGGTCACCACCACTGCTGCCACCCATTGCCCAAACGAAGGGCCTCCCAAATTCTGCCATCTTGTGTCACTAGCTCCTGAGCCACAGTCCGGAGTCGGTTGACCTTAGGTCATGTGCCCCTGCCCAGGCAGCAGAAAACGGGTTCTGCTTCCTATAAATACTTGCAAGGGGTGGAGTTCTCAAAACAGGAAGGGAAGTTCAATGTTGAGAAGACAGAAAGACAAATGTGCACCACACCCTTTCAGGCAGCATGCGCATTCAGCAGAGGACTTCGTGAAGCAAATTCTTGGCTTGAAGGAATGACTCGAGGGGTCAGGCGAGGCTTTCAAAGCCACTCGAGTCCCACCACATAGCTCACCACCCACACTCTATCTGTTCTTAGGGCCTAGCCTCGCAGAATGGCGAATTGCAAAGACTTAGGACAGAGTCCTCCTTTTGCCCCTGGTGGTGACTTCAGAAGGCTGTGGCCTTGTCTGAGTTGATCAGTCCATCACCAGGATCCAAAGGTGATTTCCTAGGTTTGTGTCAATATGGTGAGAAGAACGGGAAGAGCAGGTGGATTTCTGCATCCCGTCCTGAGCTAGGGTTCACCAGCAAATTCTGTACCTTTGTCTTCCTTGGCCCATCCCTCCCTCCACCTACAGGAGAAGAGTCTACTCTTCCTCAAGTCTACCACTTGAGGCATGAGGACCCACAGGGCCTGTTTCAAGTTTCCTGGCAGGACCAGAAGGTGTGTGCCTAGGGCCTCCCAGACAGCCAGACTGAACCAACTAGTCTTCCTCAATGGGTGGAAAGAGGGGTCACCTCTAGTTGCCACATGCCAAATATTCAGAATTAAAGATAAATAATGTCAGAGACTGAACTGTTAACCCGAGTGAGAATTATTCAGATTTTTAAAACCCAGTCATAAAACAAGCGCTTAAGTTTTTCCCAGAGGCACAAATAAGTTGCTAGGGGTCCACTGATTTTTTTGAAGGCCCCTAGTTGGAAAAAATTGGCTAAACTATAATCCTTATTTCGTATCACTGGTCCTTTGTCATCATGGATCCATACAGGGTCCACTTTTGTTTCATGTGCCAGATAGCTTTCATGTGCCCCTCCAGATGCACTCTCCACCATCCCCTGTCCTGCCCCGGGAGATTTACCTCAATGGGTTTCCTCGTTCTCTGGTTTCCAATAGTAATTGGCTAAGAAGAAGCCTTGGTAGATCAGAGAGGAGGAAAATAGTGAGATCAGGGCGTTCCCTACGAATTTGTCTCAAACTGGTCACACTTAAAACCAAAATTCACTCTCCTCTTAAAGTAGCACTTTCTACACACACTGCTGTATCGAGGTTCTAGGAGCCGCTAGAGATGGGTAAAAGCTCTTTCATTACCAGCCCCATGTCACTGCATTAGGCCTTGTGCTTTGCCTTTCCCTGCCCATCCCTCCGTAAACAGTCTCCTAAATCCTCCTCGAGTTATCCTTGTTTGACTAGGATTCCTACATTTACCCATCTGGTTCCAGTGGGACACTGAGGAATGCAGTCAGCTATGTATTTAGTAATGCTGAGCCAGAGAAATCTTGGTACTGGTGCCGGAAAGCCACAGAAGGCTAAAGGATCCAGCCAGGGGTATAGAGGCAAATCCCCTGCAGCTGGTCATCTCTCTCCAAACTAGAGAGGGAGAAGTATCCAGGCTTGGAGACCTTCTTTTAAAAAGTGTGAGTATTGGGGCACCTGGGTGGCTCAGTGGGTTAAGCCTCTGCCTTCGGCTCAGGTCATGGTGCCAGGGTCCTGGGATCAAGCCCCACATCGGGCTCTCTGCTCAGCGGGGAGACTGCTTCCTCCTCTCTCTCTGCCTGCCTCTCCGCCTACTTGTGATCTCTGTCTGTCAAATAAATAAATAAATAATTAGAAAAAAAGTGTGAGTATGGTGGGGCACCTGGGTGGCTCAGTTGGCTAAGTGTCCGACTCTCCATTTCAGCTCAGGTCATGATGTCCTGACATCATGGTTGTGAGATTGAGGTTGTGAGACTGAGGCCCGTGTCGGCTCTGCACTGAGTGGGGAGTCTGCTTGAGATTCTCTCCCTCCCTCTGCCCTACCCCAACTCTCCCTGATCAGGCGCTCTCTCTAAATACATAAATAAATAAATAAGTAAATAAAATTTGAAAACCTGGGTATTGTGATGGCATGGCGCCAAAGAAAACAGGCAGTGGGGCTGGGGAGAAAAGTGTTATAAACCCAAGAAAAAGGAAAATACTCCTCACTAACTGCAGTGTCTTCTCCATCCTTATCATTAATTCTTAAGTGTTTATTTGGGGCTAAGCTTTTATATGGAGAATTTCACTTAACTTGGGGAAATCTCAGGCTGAGGGCAGTTCAGTTTTGCCCAAGGTCAAAGTGAGGGGGGCGGGGCGGGCAGGGAGACCTCAGCTTTAAGCTGAAGAGAATGGGGCTTTGGCAACTTGACCATCTTTACCAAGTCCACCCAACCATCCTCGGACAGCACCCCCCAGGGGGCTGGCCACTGCTGACCAGCACACATGGGCTGCCTAAATGGTCAGTATGGGGAGGTTCACATGGGGCACAGGTGAGCAAGTCCACGGTATTGAAGACCTCCAAGAGCTCAGGCGGCTCTTGGTCTCAGTGTCACCATGCGTGGTCCACGAGGACCCCAAAACCCCAGAAAGGACAAGCAGAGGAGAACAGCTGGACACAGGCCTCCACATTCCACATGGAGCCTCTCTCACACACTGTCTTCTCAGGGCTCCTAAAATGCTCTTTAATGCCTGTTCCCAAGCGGGTTCTTGTGTCTTTCACACTTTCGTTTTCGTTGTCCCGTCATCACGTCCGCGCAATGGTGTCCTCAGCAGCCTTTCGTGGACATTTCTCAGGTGCTCAGTACTGCACTTCTGCTGCCTTCAGATCCCTTAATATGGAAAATATGGAAAACTAGATTCCAAACTTCCGTCACCTTGAAAGCTCTTATCCTTGGACATGACAGTCCCTCCCTTGGCTTATTTCATGGCTGTTTCGCTTATAAAGGGCAACACGAACCATTTTATGTATACGACAATGCACAGTGTTACTGATACCAACTGAGTCTGTGTCACAAAGATTAACCCCTACTTACTTCAGTCAACCCCCCATGTTGCTGAGACTGACAGAAATTTCTTGCATCATCTCAAAATCTTAGGGGAGGCGGCCTTAGCAGATCACAGTTTGAAAACAGTCTTTCACACAGATCTCCAAAACACATTATCTAAGAGGAGGGCTTGGGGAAGGTATATGGCCAAATCCAATTTAAATGGGGATAAAATTGGGCTTGAACACTGCACTGGCCTAGAAAGTACAACCCCAAAGGGGCCTCTGGGCCTCCAAGGGAGAAATGGGGCCAACGTGGGGAGGGCACAGAGAGCGAGCAGGAGGGTCATGCTTTCTGGAGGGTGGGTGTGTTTCTTTCTTTTCCGGCTACTGTTATCGATGCGGTAAGCACGTCCCTTCAGCTGAATGCCCTGGAGAGGAAGCCCCGAGCTTCCTGTTGTCTTACCAGTGCTGCAAAATGCAAGCT